TTCCCACGCTATATTTAGTGTGTTTGGAATTCAACAATTACTATAAAGTTTGCAGATTCTGTGGTGGCGTATAGATAATTGTAAACAATATGTACTATAAACAAGCCAATGTTTTGTTCTCTAGCACTGGAGTGCGATATATTGTGTGATACATATCTATTTTATTTTATCACGGGCTATCGAAATATAGGAATGTTAATAGGCTTGTTAGACTCTATAATTAATATGATTTTATTTTAATAAACTTGGTTAGTTTTTTTCTAAAACCTCAGAGTTATTGATTTTTTAAATAAATATTGGAAAAAATAAATCCAAATAAATATAAAGTTCTAGCCACTTCTAAAGAAATCTGATTTACTGAAATTTACAAAGTTTTGAGTTAACCGGATAGACATCACGACATGTGAGTGCCGCCAAGAGAAAACCCGCAAATCTTATAAGATTTACGGTTTTCTCTTGGCGGCACTCATATTATGGAAGAGATGTTCTTGAATGGCGCCTGTAATTCCAATTTCGAACTGTATTTTCGGTTCTGTATTCGATCCATGTAATGCTGTAACGGTAATGCAATCGCAATTGAAAGTTATCAGGCACGTGATTAATCTGTGACTGATCCGGCTATCGTCATTAAAAGGTGTATCTAAAATACATATCGGGTATATCTGATGTTACAACTTTCCACTCTGAAACGCAGACTTGTAACTCTCTTAGAAGAATTTAAGCGGGCGAGACAATTTTGGTCCGATCTTAATGATGAGGGCCTTACTCTAGCAAATACATTGGTCAATACAAAATTGCAAGAACGGTATATAGTAGTTTCTAGCAGTAAATTTATACAATTTATGAATGATAATGATTTTATTTCGAATATAGTCTTACAGATAATCCACCAGAGTGGGCACCAGAATCAAACGATGTTACACGCTTGAATGACGGTCAAAGTATTCTTGATGACAAAATTATCGCTTTAAAAGAATCACTTCAACAAATCGTCGAAAAAATGGTACATTTTAGTTTGTTTTTTTTTATAAATATTAATGTGATTATTAAAATTATATTTCAATTTCATAAAACGATTTCAAATAGGCAAAACAACTTACAAAAATGAAAATGCAAATTCTTCAAATGGAATTCCTTCTTGAAGAAGCATGTGAAAGCATGGGCGATGAAATTGTTTATAATAATCCACTATATTTATCATGTTCATTGGAAACGTTTGGTATGTTTATTTAATTTCCAGATTTTCTCATGTAATAATAAATGCCAATACCATACTGTTTATATAATACTATTTATTTTATTAAACTTTACTAGTTGAATTTTCTGTTATTATCTTTAATATGTTTACTCAAGAAATGGATCTTAAACAAAAAATAATTTTATCTCTTGAATTGGAATTGGAAAACCAACAATTTATGGTAATTTTATCAACTTGGTTAAATCAACCATATATTGATTTTGATAAAATTATGGAATTTGAAAATATTTGTAAAATTGAAATAGAAAATAAAGAAAATTAATTACAGTATTATTTGTAATTTATAATAAAGTGTAATGAAATTTTAATATAGATAATTTTATTATTTTTGATATATACATATTAATATTACTAGTTAAAAAGTTTATAATTAATATTTTATCTAATTATTGCTATTTAAAAATAGGCTTTTGGGATTGCATATATTAACAACATCACTGGCATGATTGCCTAAGTTAAAAAAAAAACAAATTATCCAATAGTTAATTATTGTAAACTATTTTGCTTCTTTAAACAATTGTTATTAAAATATTCTATAGTATTATTAAACATTGTATCTTTAAATTTTTGACAAATAAACAATTACAAAGTGCAGTTTATACTATTTATCAACAGTATTATAATAATAATTTTTAATAACAATTTGTATATTTTATAAAATATTCTTATTTATCAAAACAATTGCAAATATTTCTCAAAAATACATCATATTTTTTAAAAATTTTTACTAAAATATATTAGCCATATAAACTTAATAAATTGGTTCTCATAACCCGGCCAGGTCAAATTTCGCAAAATTCTTAAAAAAATTTACTATCCGGATGAAGCTTTTTTAGAAGTTTATAAAAATTTTTATATGCTTTTTATATATAAAAATTTTATGAAAATAAAATTAAAAGCCGGGTTGCCGGATCATTTTTCAAATTTTATGTTATGAGAACCAAAAAATTAACTTTGTATAGCCTTATGCATATAATAAAAATTTTTAATAACACATATAGATTATTTTTATTAGATTATGAAATAACAAATTAATATTTTCTATAAAGTTTTGTTATATTAAGAAAATCTATAATCAATACTTGAGAAAATATTTTGAAATAATAAAAATTTTTTTATATTATAAATATATCAGAATATCTTCTGATCATCAAATATTTCTCTATAGCAAAGATATAGTTGACTCTGTATATACTGAACCTACTTATACTAAAATCAGAATATAATAAACCAAATCTAACAAAACTAATTTTTCATAATCATTTAAATTAATTATAATGAACTTAAATATTAAATTTCTATATATCATATCTGAATTCTTCTTTATCAGCCTGTAACTATGTATATATATTTTGATATAATAAATTATTATTATATTGATCTTAAATAAAGCCATATAATTTTGCTAACTAGATACTAGTTCTCAAGATATGAATTTATTAAACAGATTTCTGTTATAGTATTTAAAATTATTAATTTAATATATTCTGTTTGAATTCTAATTTTACTCATTAATTTAGCTTTTTAACTATGATGTATATACTTTTTGACTATTTAAATAATTGTCATATGAATATTTGATAGATGCAATAAATAGAAAGCACAGATAAATAATTATATGATGCTATAGTTAAAATAAAAATTTTTAATAAAAATTTTATCCAAAGTTATTAATCCTTATATAATTATATTCTAATAGTCTATTTATATTTTTATTAAAATCAAATTATACATACAAGAGTTTTTTATTATTCATATTAGAATGCTTATTGTTATCAAACATATTATAGCAATATATATTGCAGCTTTATGTATTGCAGTGCCTTTTCTTATTACTTAAATAGGATATTCAAAAACTGCAATTTTTAACTATTATTTTCTAGTATAATGCAGCTATTTTGACAGTACTGCTAAAATATTTAGTAGCTCTATACTTAATTTAATTTAAGATGATTATTGAGTATTATTTCAAGTCAATACCTTAAACTTTGCAAATTTAATAAATTCTACATGCATATAGCAAAAGTTACAGAATATTTGCAATTTTTAAATTCTGATTAGTTTATACTTGTAGTATTTTTTTTCTTATCAAACTCATTCAAAATAACAATATAAATAACTTTAAAGCAGAGATCTAAAAAATTTTAGATTTTATTTATATAAATAGAATTCAAAATTTTTTAGGTTCTTGCTTTAAAATAATATGCAATTATTTTTTTTTCTCTACACCTTATTAAAACAATAATACAACTAGATGATTACTAATTTTATGGCATATCATAATGCTACCAATATTTAATGCAATACAGGATCAAAATTTTTATAACAATAGTACTATAGATCTAATATTGATTTATTTGCAATAATAGTACTACTTACATGAATTGTAAAATTAGTAGCCATCTTGGTTATATTTAAACAATGATTATATATACTAAGAGATATTAGTTTATATAATTTAAAAAAAAACAATAATAATTACCAATCATATTATTGTTTTAATTGTTTTTTATAAATTATAGTATTCTAAATATTAAAAACTAGACTATTTTATTTTTGTTTAATAGCAGTAATATAATTGTTCTAATCTGATAATATTAATGATAATAAAAATAAAGATATAATAAGCTTTATTTATTTATACTGTATATATGTTGTAAATAGAAACAAAATTTAAGTAAATTTAGAATTTATATATAAAACCTCTATTTTAGGATTAATTTTATCATATATATACTCTAACCCTAATTTTAATTTAACTAAAAAATTTTAAATCTACTTAAATTTTATTCTTACTTACAATATATATATATAAATCATGAAAGCTAAATAATAAAAAATATTAAGATCTAATTTATATATAAATTATAAAATTTATATAAAAATATAATAATTTTATTTGTAATTTTTAAATTCATAAATAATCGATTAAAAATTTTTAATATATCATCAAAATGCAAATTATTTTTATAGCTATACAAAAATATAAAATTTGCAAAATAAAAGAAAAAATCTAAATATTAAAAAATATAGAGTTTGCAAATTAGTATAGTATTAGTAAATTAATAATAACAGATATTTTGAAAGAAAAAGAATATTAGTTAGCAACTATAGTTGAGAATCAAGAAGAAGTAAAAAAATTTTGTAGGCTGAAGTAGTTAAAACTTTAATATTTGAGTAGATAATATACTTAATACTGAACAAGATATTAATAATTATATTCTCAAAATAAAATTGAAGTTCTTTGCTAATCACTTAGATATTAAAGATTTTTATTAGTCAAATGGTTGGCTTATTGGTTTTAAAAAATGTTATAAACTTTATTAGTTTAAAAAAAAAAATAAGTAAACAAGTATATCTTCTATAAAAAAAATAAAAAAAGACTAGCTTGCTTTACAAAATAAACTTTGACCTTATAATCTAAAAGATATTTAGAATGTTAATAAGACTAGACTTTACTGAAAAATAGAATCTTCTCATATTTTAGCTCATTTAAAATTGGCAAGATACAAAAAAAAAATGTATACAACAATATTTTGTACTATAAATATTAGTAGAACTTAAAAATGAAACTAATATTCATTCATATCTGTCAAAATCTTATGTCTTACAAAATATTAATTATAACAATCTTTCTGTTTATTATTACTAAAATAAAAAAGCTTGAATACTAACTTTTATTTTTAATAATTTTCTTCTTAAACTCAACAAAAAAATTAAAAAAAAAACTAAAAAAAAAAATTTTTATTTAAACAAATATTTTTAAATATTATTATTAATAAAAATAAAGAAAACATAAA